TGTTTTGGTTTTTTTTTTTTTTTTTGGTTTGTATAATTTAGTGGGCTTTTGGGTATGAGGCTTTAAATTTGTTTTGATGAACTTCACCTCTCTAATTTTTGATTTCTTCAATTGAGTCCTTTCTTTCTCCTTCTCCCACTTTTTCCTTGAAATTTCCCTTTGCTTGCCAACCTAACAATAAAAGTAAAAATTGAACATATTAATGAAGATAAAAACTAAAATAAAAATAAAATTTTTAAAAATTTTGAGTTATGACAATAATACGTTATTTTATTTTTATTTTTTATTTTTATCATCTAGGTTGTACACTGGGAGATAGTTCTCTTCTATCTCGCAATTCATCTTAACAATATATCATACAATTCAAAGTTAGGATCTTTTATTTTTAACAAAAGAAAATTACCACTAAATTATTTGTCGTTAACTTTTTGATGTAAATGTTAAGAGTATAATTAATGAACAATGATAAACGGACCAAAATTTGAGATTAAAATGTGAGATAAGTAACATGACTTATGGCACGTTAGTAAAATATTAAAAAATAAACTTTATGTTATTTAATAATTATTTTTTAACATATAATATTATATAACATCAATTAATTTAATGATGTAACACATTTTTAGTCTCAAATTTTTATCCTCTTTATTATTACTCATAATTAATATATATTTTTATAAGAAGTTAGTGTCTATATATAAATCTCGATTTAAAAAAAATTAATTTTAATTTATATTTAGAAATCAAAATTTCAATTCAAAATTTAAAAATTCACCCTATAAAAGTTCATAAATCTAAACTAATTTTATATTCTAATATAACAAGTTTATAAATATAAATATTAATATTTAATAAAATAAATTTTTAAATTTTAAATTAAATTTTAATTAAAAAATTTATCTAATCAATACCTTAAGATTCACTAATTAGAGTATTTTTAATTAATTTTACACAAATTTTCATATTTAATTCATATTTAATTCATAACTTTTTATAAATTTTGAATGTAAATATTATATTGTATTTTTTACACTTTATATTATATTTTATTTAAATTTTATATAAAAATTTATATAAAATTAATTACAAATATTATAATTAATGAGATTTAACCTATATTTTTAAAATAAAATTAAAAAATCCCTTAGTTAAATAAAAAGATTACAATTTTATGAAAATTAGTTACAAGAAAATTCATTTATTGCATCCGCTTAGACAAGCCCTGTGTAATAAATGGAATGCGCAGGGTGCCTGGTCTCCAATTCTCTAAGCTTTCTGCTATTGCATTAAATGCTCATTCAATTCTACGGAAATGCAGTTCTCCAAAATGCCCTTAATTAGCACTTGTGTATTCCTCATCTTTCAGGTAACGGTTTGATAACGGTTCGAATTTGAGCTCTTATAAATTTGTTTAAAATACCCTTAATCATATTTTTTTAAAAATAAAGATAGGGCATACTTATAATTTAAAAAGGTAAAACCATAAGTTAAGCCCTTGAACTAATCCTAGAATCGTTATTAAGCCCCTAGACTTTAATTGATGCAGTTAAACCCTTAAACTTTGAGATCAAAGCAATTAAGCCCTTTTTCTTAAGCAATTTATTTTAAAAATTAAAGTCTAGGGGCTTAATAGTGTAAAAAGAGGGACTTAATTGCTTTGATCCTAGAGTTCAAGGGCTTAATTGTATCAATTAAAGTCTAGGAGCTTAATAGCGATTATGGGGTTAGTTCAAGGCTTAACTTATGGTTTTGCCATTTAAAAATTAATTAATTTTAAATCACCTAAAATCCTAGATATGCCAATTAACTCCCGCGTACAGAGGAACAATATTATATGGGATCCTTAGTCTTATTTAACGCTAACAAGTAACAAAACATCATAACAATCTTTAGAACTCAGTATCTATCCAAATTAAACTGTAGCATTACAGATACCATAGAGCCATTAACACAAACACTTAATTAATAATAATCTAAATAACAGATAGTCAAACTGCAGATAGATCAAATGCTTCAACAAATTAACTGATAAATGTAGACTAATCAAAAGTGTTGTTTCAAGCCCTGGGCTTGAGGCGGCCTTCATTGGCAAGCTTGAAGAGCTGTGCCTGAGCTGATGCAGCTCTGTTAGAACCAAGTGCTGCAACAAAATTCTCCCTCACTTGCTTGGTAGTGTAGGGAAACCTGTTGTTCACCATGGAATTGAGCAAGGAAGCTGTCCCTTCTCTGTAAAGTGCACCAATCCCATCATGGCGTGTGTTTGAAAGTGCTTGCTGAAGGCTCATGTTGGCCCCGAAGCCGGGGATGCTGGTCACTCCAAAGCCGCTACCCACTGTGCCCCACCAACCCAGCACCCCCCATATCAGCCCAGGGTGATTCCTCCAGAAACTAAAATTATAAAAGATCCAACTAGTTAGTAACCTGAATTAACGTTTTTGTTCATTCTTGCATATGGGATTACGTAAAATTTAACTTACTCGCATGTACCACCGAATGGTCCACTTGGGGCAGGAAAGAATGGAGGTGTAGGAGTGACTGGAGTTCCTGGATCAATGTGCGGAGTGGTTGGTGGGTTGACATAGACTGGCGTTGGAGGACTGCTGCCACCCGAAGGTGGAGGGGAGTCGTAATATCCACCGCCGCCATGTGGAGGAGAGGGAGTATATGACGGTGTTGATGGAGTTGACGGTTCATGTGGTGGGGCCCCACAGTTTCCACCTGAAGGTGTTGAAGGTGTGGGAGTGTAGCCACCTCCATGCGATGGTGTTGGGGTGTAGCCACCTCTATGCGATGGAGTTGGGTTGTAGCCACCTCCATGCGATGGTGTAGGGTTGTAGCCACCTCCATGCGATGGTGTTGGGGTGTAGCCACCTCCATGCGATGGAGTTGGGGTGTAGCCACCTCCATGTGATGGTGTAGGGGTGTAGCCACCTCCGTGTGACGGAGGAGTCCCTTGATAGCCTGCAGCAAATTTTTAGGGATAATCTATTTTTAGCTTTCACTTCAGTCATTCTCATTAATTATACAAGAGACACGTAGTAGTACAGTATTTAAACTTAGGGCAATTATAAGTTTCAACAGGAGAAATTTTTGTCGAGAAAACAGGGAAGAAGAAAAGACCTGTTGGGGGAGTTCCTGCATGAGGGTCTGGAGAGTAATAGTTCTTTTGATCTTCAAAGCTCTGAGACATTACAGGATTGAGCAAGTTCTGAGAGAGTATCCCAGCTACCAGAAGACACAGGAAGAGAGAAGCTTGCTGGCTTGTTTGTCTCCCCATCTCTGGTTTTTTGGAGACAAGTAACAAATGAGAAAAAGTGAGAGTGAACAAGTGAAGGTGTTTGGCTCAGAGGACGAATTATGGTGAATTTAAAAGGGTGGAGAAAGGGTGAAGTAAATACAAGCAGGTGAAGAAGCATGCAGTTAGTTGATGTATTTGCAGGAGCATTTATACTGGTAATTAATAAGGCAAATTGAAATTGAAGTGGACACAGTCTAAACTTAGCGCATCTATTGATCAATAACACCCCCCACCTTTCCATATAGTATTCTATTTTGTCCTTTCTTTTCTAAATCTACAGACCTTCAGGTACACATATATATATTTGTCGAACTGTGATTCTGCTTTTGTGAGTGTGACATGGAGTAGTGTCGGAATGCATATTTTTATCATCACTGGGCATAATTGATGATCTAAAGAGAGTGCAGATAATGTTTCTCTATCGTCGTTTAATTAGGATTAATTAAGCCCAACATAATTGTTTTCATTTCTTGGCTTGTTTGCTTTAAACCTAACAGATCAATAGGAAAAAAATGACTTAGGATTATGTTTATACACATGATTCGTTTCACTACTGGAAAAAAGGCCCTTTATCGGTCAGGAAAAATTGAAATTCGTCCGGAAAAGCATTCACCGGGAAAGCCATTTTTCAAATGGTGTTGTAGGACTTATGGGACCAATATTCACATGAAGTGTAGTAATTGCTGTTGAAGAGCAGAATCTTTTTATGAAGGATTGAATGGACTTTACAAGAGATCTGTTGTAGTATGAGGAAAAGCAGTTGAAGAGAAATAAATGAATTACGGCTATATCTCAATACGTAATTAATTTTAGGACATATGAGACCAATCACATGAGGCAAGGAATGGGGTTGAAGAACAGGATCTTTGTAATATTTGCGGACAAATTATAAAATCCCAAGAACCGATTTACCTTAATTTTTGCCTACTTAATTTTCACTTTGTGTATGGTGATGTTACTTTTTCCCTTTTTTTTTTTCTTTTGGTTGACGGTTGTATGGTGCTTAATTAGTTAGATAACAAATCAAATGCTTCATCTAGATGAAGTCTTTAAATTGCTCATCTATAATATTCACTTTTTCTAACAACAAATGGTAGTTTTTTAATTCAAAACTACACTTTAAAACTGTGCCGCACGTGGTTGGTTATACTACACTTTTTCCCTAGTAATTATTAAATGTAATGATATTAATTTATTTTAAAATTAATTTTTAATTAATAAAAATAAAAGTTATTTTAAATACATCTTAATTTATTCTAAATAAATATTTAACTTTCATATCAATTAAAATATTTTGAAATAAACATAATAGAGCAATCCATCAAATCTTTTGTTAATTTTTCTTAGCTATACATCTATAACTATTACTTTTTTCTACATAGAAATTAAAAATTAAACCATAAATTTATAGTTAAAAATATAAATAATTTTATTATTAAATTATATTATGACTATAGTATCAATAACCATTATTACTAGAATGTTTTAAGTTAATATATATATATATATATATATAAATGGTAGTGGCATTATTCTCTAAGGTGAGGCCATTCCCACGTCCTTGTTAATGACACATTTTTTAACTGTTCATTTTGCCCTCATTAATTTGTTGGCTGTTTTTGTTTTCATTGTTTGATAAAAAAATGTAAAATAAAAAAATGAGTGTCTTAAAATTAAAAATATTAAAATATTTAATAATAATTATATAAAAAACTTAATAAAATTAAAATTAAAATTATATTTTATATATTTAATTATTATAATTAAATATTTAAATAATTTGAATATCAACAAGTTCTAATTTTTCTATTGCAGAATAAACAAATTAAGGAATACAGAGCAGAAGTCTGTGCATCTCTTCCTCCGTTCTTCCCCTCTCCATCTTCTCCACTTTCCTCCTTTTATTCTTCCTTCTTCTTCATTCTCCTTTTCTTGATTTCTTATTTGGCCTGCGCCAGTTACTCCTTTCTTTGCCCGTTAGGTTTTTGACTAAAAAGATTAAGCTCATCTTTCCTCAAAAAGAAAAAAAATTTGCCAAGAAATTGATTTCATCCAAAGTTGGTAAAATTCGTCGAGATGATGCGACTAACTAACTAGAAAAATCAATAATAAAAATTTCTCCAACTATTGGTCTCGCGGGTTCTTCATTTTGTAAGATGGAGAACTCTAAGTTCCTCTTATTCCTTCAATTTTGAGGTAGCCCGTGAGTCCCCTGCAGAATTTGCCGCCGGCTTCTTCCCTCCGCCAGGTCCGGTTCTGCAGCTGGCTGGAAATTCTGGTGTGTTGACAGCCCCATTAAGTCCGAAATTACCCATTTAATTGCTGGGTTTTGTCCATTTAGTTGATGCTCTGTGTTGTCCGAAATCTGCTGAAAAATGGGGATGAACTCCGGTAGCAATTAAAGCATAATTAAGCTTAATTAAGGTAGAAATGGCTTGATTTAGTTGATGTGAGGTTTTGTATGAAAAATCCCATGAATTAGCTATTGCTTTGCAAAGTCCAGTTCCTCCATGTGCTGCCCGTGAGATTGGGAAATATTGCAGGCCTTAAACCATTTTTTTTAGCTTGATTAAGGTAGAATTAGCTTGAATTGGGTTGTTGTGATTTTGGAGAAAAATCCCATGAGATTTACTATGGTTTTGTCCATTTTTGGAAGTTGCAGTTACTGTTCACTGCGTAAATACTGTTCACGGTGCTATTTCAGGTACTGTTTATGGGAACTGTTCACAGGCACTGTTTATGCACTAATGGCCAACAACTAACGGGGATTTAAATGTTTAGTTTGTAATATAAGAGATGTTCGGTCATGTGGAGACTGATAGAAATAGCATCGTGATTAGGGGTAGTTTTAATGATGACTTCACTTTGAATTTGTGATAGTGCGGTATTAACTTTGGAATATTGTGATTAGGTTTTGATTGTTCTATCATCGTAGCACTTGGGTTAAGCCTTCTATTCTGTGCGAGTAGGGTAAGTAAATTATGGTAAAACCCTTTGATTTTAAAGCATGTTTTAAATTGCTTTTGAGATGGTGGCAAGGTTTAAATTGATTTTAAATATTGATTTTATTTGCACCGAATATGATTGGTTTGAAATGAAATTGTTTTCATTTGCATTGAGTAGAGCATGCCTATTTGGAATTGACTGAACTACCGTGATGAACTGAGAATTTTATAAATTCTGAGTTTTTCTGTTAAATCCATGCTCACATGAAAATTGTGATGATTTTTATGAAAATTATTATTTTCTGGAATTGAGCACGATTGGAATGAAAATGAGAATTTCATTGTTTTTCTGGAGTTGAGCATGCCCACATGAAATTTTCCGGTTTATTCTTGAATTTGAGATTGATTGTGAATTTCGAAATTTTATGTAAATCCTGCATGGTTTTGTCTCTAATATAGTCATGATTACTAATGCTCACCAGTGGGAGTTTGCAAACGCTGGCACATGTCGACATGTTTACTGATATGACCGGTCCATTTTGTAATTCTGCTAATGGGATAATACATTGGTAATTACTGACGCCTGCCAGTGGGAGTTTGTTAAACACTGGTATCATTACTGACGCCTGCTAGTGGGAGTTTGTTAAACACTGGTACTTTTGTAACCCTGCTAATGGGGTTAAACATTGGTTATTACTGACGCCTGCTAGTGGGAGTTGTTAAACACTGGTACCACTACTGACGCCTGTCAGTGGGAGTTTGTTAAACACTAGCCATGACTTATAGATGAGACTATTACTGAATTTTCTTCTGCATTAACGGTTTGCCATTGGACGTTTTGCTATTGAACTGAATTTGATTCTGCATTAACGGTTTGCCATTGAACGCTTTGTTATTGAACTGAATCTGATTCTGCATTGACGGTTTGTCATTGAACGTTTTGCTATTGAACTGAATCTGATTTTGTTTTAAGGAGTTATCACTGAACGTTTTGTTATGTTAAATTGTTTATCAGGTATGCTAAAATTTTACCCAAAGGCTATCCATATTTACTTACTGAGTTATCTCATAATTTTTCCTTGTCCACCATTTCAGGAAGCGAAGTCAAGGACGGGGAAAAATGAGGGGAGTGACGAGTTAGAAGGTTAGCCATCTTGTAAATTGAACAAGATTTTTAGATATAAATCATGATCTTGTAAACTAGATTTTAATTGGAGATTTTATAAATTCATTTAATGGATTGTTAGTTTACAAGAGATTTGACCTTGAGATTTTGAGCTTAAGTCATGTTGGACATAGAATGATTTTGAAATATCTTATTTAAGTTATTAGATTGTCAGATGTGAATTGGATAAGTTCCGAGTTTTGTGCATTTGTGGGACCCTTTTATGAGTGCACAGCGTCTGCCATGTCCCCGAATTTGAGTTTTGGGGCGTGACAATCTACCAAGATAAATTAATATATATGGTAATGCAAAAAGAAGTACTATTTAGAAGACCTTCCCTCTTTATATACCAGGAGCAATTAATTAGCATGCTGCACTACAAAAAAAAAAAAAAAAAAAAAAAAAAAAAAAGAAAAAAAAAGATGAACCAATCTCTAATATAATACAGGGAAAATAGAAATTGATGGTTAGAATCTCTATATCATATAACCAATTTTTGGATTAAAAAAAATCTTTTAAACAAAACATTTAGATGTTGTCAAAAATTCAAAAAAACCTTAAACTCACTTAAAGTAACTATTAATGATTGAGAAAAAAAAAAGATCATAAAAATGTACTTAAGGAGCGTAGGGCAATAAGTAAGTATAAATCGATAGTATTTGATTCTTCATTTTCTTGATTCTTCATTTTCTTGATTCTTTAATCAATTTTTAAATATTTAGATATTGATTCTTCATTTTCTTCATTTAAGAGTTTTTAAATACTTAGAGATTCTATTTTTCATGTTAAGTTAATGTTGCCTCTTCATCTATCATGTTTATTCATCAATTATTTTTATCATTTACAATTGTCATTTATTTGCCTCTCCATCTACCACTTTTTTGTCCATTTTAATTTTCATTTATTTTTATCATTTATTTATAATTTTTATATATTTTACATATTTTGCTTCAATGTTTTAAATTAATATACTATTATATTTTAAATAAATACATACCCTATTTAATCCATATAGTGGCATTTTATATATATATACTAATTTTTTTACCCGTGCAACTAGTTCTTTTTATTAGAACTGGAATTTTATTTTATTTTTTATCAATTTTTAAATTTTATAATGATTTTTTAGTTAAAAGATTCTAATTAAGTGATTAAAACTGAGTTTGAAAGTGTTTTTGGTAATTAGAAATAGTATTTTTTTCCAAAAAATTGTACAAAGCAATATTAAAAAAAAAGAATATTAAGAAAATTCAAGAAAACATTCGACACTAATCGTCATCTCATAATCAAAAAAAAAAAAAATCCATTCTTTTTTTAACTATTATTAATAATTTAGATAATATTTTCTTCTCTCAATTAAAAAACTAAAGTTAAATAAGAACATACTTATATTCCTTCAAATTTTACCTTTCAATTACGTTAGAATTATAATCAAATAACAAATAAAACTAAATAATACTCTTATTAATTTATTTTCTAGTTATTTTAGCCCACGTGTTGTATGGGATTTGATTTTTTTATTTTATATTTATATTATGTGATCTTCTCTTATATATATTTTTATGATAGAGCTGTTTTAAAGAAATGAAAATTATATTTCTTAATTAGATTGGAGGACAAAAATGTCTAAGTATTTTGTATTATATATTAAAAAAGAAAAATGATTTGTGTACACCCGGGTCAACACCAGGGTGTGTACACTTCCCATTGAAAAAAAAAAAGCCCATCAACACCCGGTCCAAATTTTTTTTTTTTTATGTGGGGGTGCACACCCGGGTGTTGGATCCGGTGTGCACCAATCAATGTCCATTAAAAAATATGCTTTTGAATCTTTATTACACTAAAATATGTTTTTTCACTTAAAAATAATTTTGTTTTATTATAGCCCAAACTGCACTATTTGTGTAGTTCAATTTGAAAAACTAAGCTTCCATATATTTTAAATTTGAGTTTTAAAACTCTTTCAATTAACTAAAGTTTGAAACTATTTTGATTTTATAACATTAAATCTTGTCATTTTTGTTCTTTTTTCAATTTTTTAGTAGTTCATCTTAAGTCATGGAATATATTTAGTTGTAATAGTTCTTATTGTTTAGCTAAGATTTAAAATTTTATTTATTTATTTAATTTTGAGTTACACAATGGATTCGACTTTTTTTGTCATCTATTTACTTTATTACATTAAGTTGCTTAAGTTATTAGTTTTGAATTCTCATTCAAATTAGTCATATTAGTTTTACTTTAGTCCCCTTTTTTGCCTATAAATGGGTTATATGTTGTCTGAATTTTTTCACATTTTTTTTTTATTGATTGTTGATGTTGCACTAAAGTAATAGTTATTATATGTATCATATTTCTTTCTTAACTTCAATACAAACCATGATATAATAGTTATAATTGAGATTACTTTTTTCATTAAGAAATTTTTGCACATTCAAACGTTTTGCTTTTTATGCTCACTTACAGTTTTATCTTTAAGTTGGGCAATAATAGCAACATTAAATAACATAATAATACTTTCTTCTTCAATATTTTAATTCACTTGAATTTTTTTAATGTTACCTAATACATTAATATAGAGATAACTACATTTAAATTGTTAATAAATTCTTTCAGTTTTTTTCTTTATCATTATTTTTGAAATTAATGTTGAAATGATATAATAATTATCATTTAATTAATACATTATTAATTATGTGTCTTTTGATCTTGCACTATCAATTATAATATAATAATTTTGGTTTAGGTTACATTTTCATTACTTAAATGAATCATAACTGAAGTTTTGTATATTCATGACCTTTTGCTTTCCATACACTCTTACATCTATCTTCCTTCAATTAATCAATATAAATTTTTTTGATATAAAAGAAAGATAAAAGAAAAGTCTTATAACTTTAGAAACTATAAAAAAAATTTTGGATTATTTAGAGGTCTTCAATATCACATACATGATTACTATACATTCTAATTCTATAATTTATTCTCATTCTTTATAAATACTAGGTTTCTATTTCTCTTCCTTTGGTTTAATGCAAT